ACCTCACCAAAAAACATAGATTTAAGTTCAGTGTAAAGTCAGTCATCCATCATCATAATAATCCACGTAGCAAACGACCAGATAAACATACTGATATACAGTAAATAGTATAATTATTACTCCTTATACAGGAGTAATACCTAGATATTAGAATACACAATAAATTATGTAGCGACACCTCATCATATATAATGCCACAGTGATCAGGTGATAACCACCGCGCTACACTATGTAAAGATAAAAGATTGTATATACTATACAATCTTCAACTTTTACCTTAAGATTGTATAGTATAACTTATATTATTAAATAAATAATTCATAGATAATTCAGTAGCTTTACGAGATTGTACAAAGTAATTAGCGTGGTACGCCGACTAGCGTTCTGAATCAAGCGTCCGCCTCTAATATACTTTCTTCCCTCCGAAGCGCAGGTAATCCAATAAGATTATATTATGATCGTTGCTTTTTATTGCAAAACGAATTCTGCTTAATAACTTCGAGTTCATTGCTACAGAGTTGAAGTGTTTAATCGTTTAAACTGTATTCAGGTAAATGATTATTATCATTATTATTCACACTTAATAGAACTAAGAAATGGTGATGTTACATAATTGAGAAGGAATATTTGACGACCGCTTTACTTCCTTCGCGGCTTTGATTCCTTGCACGGTGCAAAATTTGTATTCATGAGTGTAATTGTTTGTAGCGGCCTGTTTTTTATGTATATTATGTCGTATTTACAAAAATATAATTATTTATATGAGTTGTATCTATAACACAAATTGTCCAATGTTATTTAATTATTATTTTATATTGAATTAGATGAAAATAAGTTCCTAGGTATTATGTCAAATGTTGTGTTCACCGTGATCTGGACTGGAGTTAAGGAGAGTGTGAGTAACGTGAACGAATGAGGCCATTGCTAGCAAGGCACCATATCAGGTAGACTTCCACGCCTAAAACCATTGTGAGTCCCACCAGCGTAAACCGTTAGTTATCTTTATTTCTATCGCTGGTACCATCACCGGAGAGTCAGTCAAAAATATTAATTGACACACAATTTTTTTTATTTCCGGTTAGATTTGAACTGACGACCATTGGTACAAATCAAGGACCCGATACTCTCGATACCAAAAGGGGACTATGGTATTTCATATAATAAATTATGTACTGTGTCTGTAACAATGCGTGACTTGGGAATTTTTAATTATAAATTCATAGTAAAATTGCGTATTCAGTCAAAGTTTCGGCAACAATGCCCAACGAAATTTGTTACCCTCCCTTTTGACTTTCCGTTACAAGTTAATCCAACTTTTCTCATTTATTTTTATTAACGACAATCATAACAAATAAGAAAATTGTTGTCGCAATAAAAATGCAAATACAACGTTTACATAGAAAATTATAAATTATACATATTATTTTTTTATAATTATATATATAAAATAAAAACATAATAAAAACAAACAAGCAGCTTTATCAAGTGCAAAACAGATCGTAAAATATTAAGAGTACTTAAAATATATATACATAGATAACACCCCGACAGGCACAATACCACAATACGAAAATTGAACCTACGACCATCAGATATAAACCAGTGTGTAAACCACTAATTCACCGAGGCCATCAAGTTAATGCATAACCCCAAAACGATTAATAGGTACGTCATTCAAGACTAGTAAATTACAAAGAGAAATTCAATTTCAAATCAGCTAATTAACTGCAGGCCGAGAGAGAACGTTGGTGAATAATAAGCTGGGAGTGATTGCTCACCAGGAAATTTCCACAGTTCGCTTTTCTGAATTTAAAACTTATTATTTTATTACTATACCCCCCCCCCCCCTGTAGCTCTGAACACCGGCTTTCGCAAGAGTGTACTAATGACAAAAATAAGAGCAATTTGTTTCTCTACAGTATGATTTTGAACGTTTTCCCTTTTTTCACAGGTAAAAATCAGACAGACTGACACGTTTTGTAATATTAGATAGATTACTTTATTAGGTAAAGAAAAAGAAACACTAAAATTGACATACATACACGTATTCATATGACGCCTCGGTGTTCTAATGGTTTGGTAAATCATCATCATCATTAAGACCATCGACGACGAGGTCGCATCCAATGCCTTCCCGCGATCTTGACCAGATCGTCTCTCGAATGGACCATCATATCTCTCGAATGGACATACCTTTCTATTCATGAGTATGATAGTTTGCATTGGTCTGCTTTGCGAGTGCTTTCTATGTATATTATGTATGTATTTACAAAAAAATCTAAGCATTTTATTCATTACTAACACACACATATAACACAAGCTCTGTTTGCTGGGACTAGATGGCGCTGTGTGAATTGTTTCAGGGATATTATTATTATTATTATACATGTTGTATAAATATGTTATGCTATGTAGAGACAGTAAGGTGATATATAAAAGAAATTATTTTATGTTTTTGATTATAGAATACAAAAAAAAACAATATATCAATGTAAAAAGAGTCTCTCTACAATAACAAATGACGACATTTCATTTCATTTGGTTATATTTCAATCCAATATGCAATAGGCAACGAACTCCAAGCAGCCATTTTGTTATCAGTACATATGTCTATGACCAGAACAGTGAAAGTTAGAATTATAAATTTCCAACCTAGTAACAACACTACAGAAAGTATTTTGGCATCGGACTTCGACTCAAGACCTTCGGGTTTCAAGTCCCTAAACCCTTACACTACAGTGCTATCAACTTACACGCTAACTTCTTTTAAATTGATTATAATCAATATAAATCCATTCGAGGTCCCTTTAGTAAGGAATTTAACGAAGTCGAAATTAGAAAATGTTGCTGGAGGCTGAAAGCTATGAGCGCATACCATCAAGGGACACGATTCCAATTTAGTCGCAATCCGCATTCCCTGAGAAGGCCCACCATATGTATAGGAAACTGTACCGAATTCTAATATAGACTAATAATATGAAGACATAACGCCTTGCTATCGGATCTCTCATCTCTGAACAAAAACTTCTCATATGAAATATTTACTACATCTACATAATAAAACATAAACGGTCTTATTACAAAAAATCTGTTAAAACTCGGGCGAAACGTGATCTAAATGATCGAGGTTTAAACTATTCCTAAACTTAATACTAGGAATAAACCTAACATTATTATGAATCCAAATCTAACAGAGGACTTAGTTCACATTAAATAGTTCATTCTACATTCCCCACAGACAATATACAGAAATCAGTCACTCACGTCTGTCAGCGTACAATTGCGTTCCGTTTTACTAGAAAACTAAAATGATCAAAAATAATAGTACTGCAAAGAAAAATGTATAAAGTAAAAATAATTTTATTTGTATTTACTATGTCTTCATTATAACTATTTCATTAATATATAATATTTATTAACGTACTATTAGGCTGAAGATCGGTTTTAAATTACAAGTAGTAGTAAAGGAACGGCGAGATATGTTTATTGTATCTATTCGAATGGAATGGTGAATGGTGGTATTTCTTTCGTGTTTCAAAGTCAAAAGAGTGAAAAAAATAACATACAACTTTTTTTATATATTTTAATTATTGTAAAATTAGCTTTAAATATTTTTGACCTGCTGACCACATGATTACATGTGTCATACATGGATGTATTAACATCCATGTATGACACGTGGTCAGCGGTGTAGAATACTGCTACTATAATTTAATTGCATTAATACACGCTACGCCACTAATATTTAATAAAAACGGCAACAGCAATCATGGATAATTCCTCGAACAGTTTTTGTATTCAGCAACCCATCTAAAATGATTTCCCACGACAGTTCTCCACAATCTCCCCAAACGCTAATTTTAAGGATTCCAATCTCAGCATTTCAGTTTAATCAGATTTTAAATCATGAAACATGCAAGTTTTTTACTTTTTTGTTCTTCTAAGAACACTATAGTTATAGTTCTAAGATATACTTAAATTATTTAGGTTTGTGTCAATACGCAAAGATTAGTAGTAATAGTAGACAAAGCATATTTTATGGTACGGAATTTAAACAGTTAATAGACAAAACCGTAGTGATTACTTGCTCAGTTGAATAAAATTGTATTATTTATATCTTGTTATAATAATAAAAACTGCGTGACCACGACGTAAGTCAGGCGAGCACAAGCTACGATAACCGTTTCCCATCAGATGGGCCATATGCTTGTTTGTCACCTACATAGTATAATAAAAAAGTCACACTGGCCAAGAAGGCACCTGTCTCGTTTAGTTTTAAATAAAATAAAGAACATTTTATATTCGAAATTCTACATGAATCTGTTTTATTTTTCATTTGTATTAAATGAAAAATATTATATTATATACTTTTGATAAAATGACATTACTCGTCACTTAAAACAAAATAACGTTTGTATAAATATGTTTTGTGAACCATTATAAGTAGGTTTATAGATTAATTCTCATAACTCTGACGCAAGTGATGTGTTTTGTTTTTCTATTTTAGATTGCAACGGGACGTATTTTCCAAAAGCAAATTTGAGGAAAGTCGTATACAATAATTTGTGTTAATAAACTTAACTTCATGATTAAGTGAATCTATGTGATTCACGTATGAATCATATACACAAACATATAAAAAAAGGCTTTATTATTCTTAGACTATTAAGAATATCAAATGAAATTGTATATCATTATAATAATATACAATTATTAAAACTTACGTTTAGGATCAATATAGTAATCATCAGCATATTTATGCTTTTAAATTTTATTAATTATCTTTATTATTTATAACTAACAGTCCCTACAAGAAGCACCCGTTTACGAGTATGACGGAAGAGCCAGTCACAAATAATAAAGACTATTTCTATGACTAAATAAATCAATCAATAAAAGGTAGTTAGAAAAATAATAATACAAAAAACTTGATGAGCGGCTAAAATGTGCTATATAAATAAATTATTTCTGAATATGATTTTGAATTTGAAATTACGTACATGCAGCGTCTGTGATGTCAGCAGTCTAATCCCCATACCTGAAATAAAATAGACATTTTAGTATTTTGTTATTAATACACGAAATATCTCAGTGATAATGACTTTAATCCAATAAACATTAACGTACATACTGAACATGAACTATGATAAATTAGTATGGTACCAAAGTAACAGACAATAAACATTTTATATTTTTAAAAAATCATCAACAAGTGCATTGTTATAAATTATTTCGACTTGGTTATATTTTTTATTAGATCTATATAAAGGAGTAAACCCTATCGATTATATTACAATCGCCAAAAGCTTTACTTTTTTTCTTTTAGAATTAGCGCGTAAAGTGTACTCTACAAAGTAGAGTACAGAAAATATAAATATACATTTTATTTTCGACTAATAACGATTCCTTTTTAGCCAGATAGCGAAGTTATATTCATTTTTACGGTTCTGTGTTTACGGAATCCAAAATTCAAAATATTTTTATTCATAATCAAATCTACCGTCAGTTCTGAGTGATTGAACCTAAAAATAGCTATAATTAAAAGTACTAAGTACATAAAAACAATATAAATGGTTATACTTATCACTATTGAGCAGTAAATTAAAAATCAATCACATATTAAATAACAGTTACACAAACAATGTTTCACGCCCACTTCGATAAACATATTCAATATATCAAATAGTCTATGAAACGGCCAGCTGGTTTTATGTTATCTATCCATATATACAATTAATGATCTTGGCTGTCGTTCATCATAATTGATAAGTGTAATATATTGCATTGATTGTGGAAACAGACACGTTGTAAGTTGTAATGCATGTGCGATCTTCACAAGTAATTTATAATAATTTATTTATTTAAAGTTATTAATGGCCCATGTTATAAATACCTTATAGACTAACATACATATGTAATAATAATAAAATATAAACCGTATCTGTGGTCACGGCCCTGGCGACGGCAATCTGCCACGGTAGCGCCGATATACCACCCTTCAGTCACTGGTCCTCCATGAATGTGGGCAGCATGTTGGTGGGGACTCGGGCCACTATCGCGTTGTGACTCGACTCCAGCTGCGTCCCCTTAATATCAGGTTACTCTTGGTCCGTATATAGTCGCAATGTCCTGCACCTTGGTAGTGTAGCGTAGGCGAGACAGGTACAATGCCGTGATCGGTGTAGCAGCACGCGACAAGACATTAGGCCCAGTGGATGCAATGCCGGAGTGGTTCCGATTGGCCTTTTTGTGCGTCTCTTCTTTTGTACCACGATGAAGCCATTATTATCGCGGTTACCAGTGGCAGCATTATTAAAGTCAGTGTTCCGTGCCGTTTTTGGTACACGTCGCTGTACTTAAGCAATTGCTTTGCTAGCGACAATGGCGGCAAAATCTCTACTAATAATGAAATGACTTTTCAAATCGACAAATAATAATATTTTAATCACGACTTCAGTGGTGTAGCGGTTAGCGATATATGCTGGCGGGACCAGCCAATGTAGGAAGACAAGATGAGTACGAGGTCAGGCCAGTCAGCCCAGTCAGGAATTTAACATGATGGTTTCGGCGTGGAGGTCAACCTGATTGAATCAACCTGAATCCCCTTCCCTCCAATCATCCAGGGTTATTATTCTTATTAGTTTTATAAATTACTGAATGAATTCATACTTTACAAATAACTAATGATACAGAAAATATGTCGTATCAAGATAAATAAAGAAGCAAGATACTGCATATCAAGATAAATAACGAAGATATTACTACAGTATTATCTAAATCTAAGGATATAGGACACGGGGGATACTTTACTGGAAACCGGTCCCATCAACCCTTCGTAATTCGTAGAGTAAACCTACCCTTATCAGGGTTGGGCTGTTTACCACTGTCATCCGATACAGTGATAGCGGCCGGTCCAAGCGCCCCAGGGCTGACCACACATACAGACAGAAGCAACTGTCAAATATTTACCTGTTCTTGATATTGTTGCCACAAGATAATATATACAAATAAATAAAATTGAAGTGTCTGTTGTAATTTTAAATTAACAACTTTTCACTGTGCATGTAAAAGAATATACGGTACTTACATAAAAAAAATACTGTCTGTTTGTTTTTGCTAATCTTTGTGACAGCAGGACCGGCTTTCACATGCAGAAAGCCAATTTTATAACGAGTAACGTACGCTCTATTTATTTTATGAAGTTTTAATTAAAAAAAACACAAGACCAAGTTGCGGATAACGCGGTTAACGGTAGTTAAAAATAGCTAGGTATTTTTTTGTAGAATTATGATGCATAATATTCTTACTAATATTGATAATCTTCTTAATACTAAACGTCTGAACGCATCTTAAATAAAGACCTGAAGATAGAATAAATTTCGAAGGCTACACACACACAGAACTTCACGAATACTAACACACACATAGGCTGCTTTTCTCATAAAAAGCAGATGAAGTGGGGTCTGTACCTACAAGTATAAATAATTGTATAACAGAAAAAAATACGACTGTATGTAGACATACACGTTTTATTTTATGCTGTCCAACTACTAGCAGATAAATATTCATACATGTTGTTAATAAAAATTAATTTGATCAAATGATTTTCTTATTTTTTTAATAAATGAAATAGCTAAGTATTTTTGTTTTATAACAATTGCTGCAAACAACCATCTTTATGTGACATTGATTTTGTTGTTCAAAAAGAAATTATATTAATTATTTCCTGGATGGCATTTGCCTTCGGTGGTTCAGCGTATTTACCACACTGCTTTACTTCTGATGGTCGCGGGTTCGATTCCTCGCAATGGATTGTACATTTGTATTCATGAGTATGTTTGTATCGGTCTGGGTGTTTTCTATATATATTATGTATGTATTTACAAAAAAAAGTATTTAAATATTTATATCAGTTGTCTAATACCCATAACACAACTTCTGCTTATCGCGTCCAGGGTTATAGGATTTACAGGCATTACTAGAGTTAGATATTCTATGTATAAACGATTACAAATAAATCCTAAAACAGCGACCAAGTAATTAGTGCAGGATCGATGTTTTGTTTACGATTAAAAATTAGATTGGACGAATATTGCCGTCGGCGGAAAACAGTCTTTGTGGTTGGGTGGTTATCTTTCTAATGGTATTATCTAAAGATTAGCGTGGTTAACCAGAAATTATGAATCGCTCCTTTGTAGGTATACGCTGTTAAGCTAAGGGTTAATCTAATTTTTATGTATTCCCAGAGGACATTAAGACTTTCAGACTCAAAGAAATTAAAGGTACAAAGAGACTTTGTACAAAGTTGTCTGCGGGGATACTCAATATTTAGGATACTAGCAGTTAACTTTGTAAGCTTATATCGGTTCTAGGGTGCTATTACGCAGTGAAATTACAGGATAAGAGGCATGATGGAATGCCTCTTATATATGGATTAGCCCTCAGGAATGATAACGCATATTTTTTTTAATTGATGATAATAGAATGGTACACTCCGCCTGCGTTTACGGTTTACCTTGGTGGAGAAACAGAAAATGAAAAGATGAATATGAGATTAGGTCAGCTTCGTCGTGACAAATTCACCAGGATGACTAATAAAAAAAAAGCATAATACTTTCATCTGTTTCAAATTAGCATTCAAATTTAGTGGTCATTTTATTAATTGTTTTTTTAGAACACTAAAATTATAGACAAAGGCCGTTTCAATTATTAATAATAATAATTAATACAACAGCAGTCCTAGCACATTGGTCAAATAAAAAAATATAACTAATTTATTTACCACTAAAATGATGACTAATAAATTTTTAAATTACCCCAAATTACTCAGATATTGAAGAATGTTAATTCCTTTTCTATTAGTTCTAAATATGTACTCAATTTCATATTAATTATACGACGTTATACTTTTCGACCTTGATAAACAATAACATGGTATAATTAAAATGAAATATACTGTAGAGCAGGGATGTTATGGACATGAAATTTCGGATACACATAGGTTTCGGATATAGGAATGATAATTATACCGGATACGGATATGAAATTGTTTCAGATATTTATTTTTTAAGGAATTTCAAAAGTAAAATACATATAGCTAATAAAATGGTTACATAACGCGTCTCAATTAGGCTCCGCCCCTATCCGATAATTTCCGAACCTTTTATTTCGGATTAGCTTACGGTTACGAATATTTTTTATATCGGATATCGATTACGGTTACGGAGTTTCCTAACATCCCTGCTGTAGAGTCTACATGGCCTTTATTTTACAGCATATTGTATTTTCCTTACTATTGTTGATATATTTATTTCCGTGGTGACAACTAAGTCTGTCACCCTTGCTCTGATAATATCACTTTCAGCAATAAACACAAATATTGTATACAAATGTGATGTTACAAAGAGTACCAAAATAAAAATAATCTATATTCAAATAAACTTAATATTATTATGCATTTTTGCATAGCCAATTTATTTAATCTATCACCAAAATGGGATTCAAATCGAATTGGAGATCGAACAGTACCGTAGCGAAGAGAGAAAATGGTAAAAAATATTTTATTGTTCAAAATTATTATTTTAATAAGGTAAGACTACTAATAGTATATACTTATATGAAGATATCCTGTTCAAATTCTCTCTAACAATACCTTCAATTAGATTCTGCGTTTTCCTCTTAATAAATTTTGTCTATTGACAACTTTGAATGAAAATTTTAGCAAATCCGCAAAGAATCCAAAGAAAATTTAGAATATTGCAATTATGTTCTCCAATCAAGTGTCTAATTATAATATTCCTTGATTGAGAGAGCACCTGTGAATGATATGTTGAGCCTGAAGCCAGGCCAATTAGCCCATCAAGGCGAATTCACCATAATAACAACCGCGTATTAGTCTTTATTTAAATGATATAACTGAAACGTATTATACATATATATATATATATTGACAATAACTTCTAATGACAATAAACTATTCAATTGACAATAAACTAACAAAATGCAGCATTTGTATTGAATATACACAAATGAATGAAC